GTGGCTTGTAAACAGTTGCTTGTCAATACCATACGAAATATATATGTTTCTTTCTTTCTTTTTCTTTATTATTCTGGCAATATTGAGGGTGTGGCTTTTCCATTATGTTCTTGCTTTTCTTTTCTTTTGATTTCTTTTTTCTTTTCTTTTTTCTTTTCTTGAAAATATAGTATGTTTCTTTTTTTTTCTTGAAAATAGAAGATTGAGGGTGTGGCTTGTCAACAGTTGCTTGTCAATACCATATGAAATATATGTTTCTTTCTTTCTTTTTCTTTATTATTCTGGCAATATTGAGGGTGTGGTTTTTCCATTATGTTCATGCTTTTCTTTTCTTTTGATTTCGTTTTTCTTTTCTTTTTTCTTTTCTTGAAAATACAGTATGTTTCTTTTTTTTTCTTGAAAATAGAAGATTGAGGGTGTGGCTTGTCAACAGTTGCTTGTCAATACCATATGAAATATATGTTTCTTTCTTTCTTTTTCTTTATTATTCTGGCAATATTGAGGGTGTGGCTTTTCCATTATGTTCTTGCTTTTCTTTTCTTTTGATTTCGTTTCTTTTTTTTTCTTGATAACTGTGGATGTTCGATTGTATGCTTTTGTTTTTGTCTGCCCAGACGTCATATTACTGGACTATTAACTGGTTTTTTTTTTTAATTTTGTAAATTTGATTTTGTCTAGTTGAGTTTGTTAATTTTTTCAGTTGGTGTTTTATTTAACAAAACTAACATTGGATATATTTAGATATGTGGGTTTTCTATTTTATTTATTTTTTAAATATCTATGGTTTCGATTGGAATGATAACATGTTGGTTTTTCATCATGTTGAAGATGATGAAAAAGCTGAGAAGATGGAAGAAGATGAGGATGAAGCTGAGAAGATGGAAGAGGATGAAGATGAGGATGAAGCTGAGATGATGGAAGAAGATGAGGATGAATATGGGAGATGGGATGCAATGGGAGATGGGATGCAAGTAGAAGAGGATGAAGATGAGGATGAAGCTGAGAAGATGGAAGAGGATGAAGATGAGGATGAAGCTGAGATGATGGAAGAAGATGAGGATGAATATGGGAGATGGGATGCAATGGGAGATGGGATGCAAGTAGAAGAGGATGAAGATGAGGATGAAGCTGAGAAGATGGAAGAGGATGAAGATGAGGATGAAGCTGAGATGATGGAAGAAGATGAGGATGAATATGGGAGATGGGATGCAAGTGGAAGAGGATGAAGCTGAGAAGATGGAAGAGGATGAAGATGAGATGATGGAAGAAGATGAGGATGAATATGGGAGATGGGATGCAATGGGAGATGGGATGCAATGGGAGATGACCCAACCAGCCTGTATTGTTTGGCAACACTCCTACAAAGGTGTCAATACCTAGGTATGGTACTTTGCCCTTTCTTTTCTTTTCTTTTCTTTTCTTTTTTTCTTGAAAATGTTTGATTATGTGCTGATATTTCTTGCTTGAAAAGATTGAGCATGTGGGTTTCTTGCTGATATTTCTTGCTGATATTCGACTGTGTTCTTTCCTTTCCTTTTCTTGATGGAAGAGGATGAAGATGAGGATGAAGCTGAGAAGATGGAAGAGGATGAAGATGAGGATGAAGCTGAGAAGATGGAAGAAGATGAGGATGAATATGGGAGATGGGATGCAAGTAGATGATGACCCAACCAGCCTGTATTGTTTGGTAACACTCCTACAAAGGTGTCAATACCTAGGTATGGTACTTCTGCCCTTTCTTTTCTTTTCTTTTCTTTTCTTTTTTTCTTGAAAATGTTTGATTATGTGCTGATATTGCAAAAGTATATGTTTGCTGTATTTTTCCAATTGCTGTATTTTTTTGTTCAACATTATTTTGAATACTTTCTCAAATACTCTTCCTAATCTGAAGTGCATTGGAGTAGATGTCATGGCATTATTGTTAATGAAGTCTGACACATTTGTATGTTCTTTTGATTGCAGAGGCTGTGCCTAGAAAAATTCTTCAAATGATGAAGGCTGAGAAGCATCTTACTAGGGCACATGTGGCCAGCCATCTGCAGGTATTTTTTTCTTTTCCTTTCTCCTTAAATTTCATAAAACCAAATCTTTTCATTCATAGAACTTTATTTGTTTAACTTTATTTGTTTTTGCAATTGCTGCAGAAATATAGACTCCGTCTGAAAAGAATCAGCTCTAAGGCAACCCAGCAAGTTAATAATGTCAGTCCTTTTAGATCATCTTCACCTGGTGGGATGATTAATAGATTGGACACTCTTGCTGCTCTGAATGTGCCAGAGTTGCCTTCTTCGGCAACTCTTCAATTGGGTCATGCACAGAACATAAACAACTCAACCAATGGTCAACTTCAATTCCAAGCAGCCATAGTTTATGGGGTTGGCCATTTCCAAGCAGCAAGGAGTTACAAATAGTCCTAGGCAAACAAGTAGTATTGTGCCATTTCAGGGGTTGGCTGACCAAAGCCAGGATGGCAGTTATGCTTTCAGCTCAATAGACTCAATCTTAAATGAAGACTTGGACTTGGACTTTGATCCTCATGATCCTACTCAAAGGATTGACTTGGATTATTTGTTGTCTATGTAGTTGATAACACTAATTATTTGTTGTCTATGTATTGTATTGTGTAGTTGTAAATGGGTTTCAAATTCAATTCTGTTTGTAACTGCCTGTATTTTACAGCACAATGATTAGTCTGATCAACATCAACACTTTTTGTGAATGATTGAACAAGGGTTATTTGAAAAGAATGATGAGTCTAATGTGGATGGAAAATTTAGCTTTCTAAAATTTTTGTGAATGATAACGAAGTGTCAATTACTAGCATAATTGTCCATATATTATTCAATATGTTATTGTTTGTGAATACCTTTTCCTAAAGTTCAAGAAAACTTGGGGGTAGAAACTGAAGGACCAAACAACTAAAAGAGGTCCATCCTAACACTATGTAACTTCAAGCGTATGAGAGTTCCATATTGTTTCCATGTTCTGATGATATTCACTCACATAAAGATAGAGATCAAGGCTGAGGGGAATAAGAATTCGTTATATAACAAAGATGAACACAAACTGGCACCGAAGTGCAAAGAGAGCATCAGAAACTGTCATTATATAACGAGAATAATGCAACCCTTGTTCTGTTTTTTTTTTTTTTCATACATGACTTTTTTTTAAGTGTTATTATATTTTTGTTGGTGATAGGATATGAAAAAGAGTATTTATTCTACCTAATTGGTAAAAATATATATGAAGTAAGAATATGACAATATATCATCCGTGGACTTGTACAGAGATACACTAGCTCATTACCATTTTTCGAAACAGAAATGTCTTAATATATATATATATATATATATGGAAAGTAGAGAAAATGTATATGGAAAGTGGAGAAAATTCTAAATATTTTTGCTCGCTTATAGATCTAGATTATTGAACAATTGTTGTTTCAAATCCTTGGCCTGTTTGATAGAAAGAGAAGAAATTTATTTATTTAATCATAAGCATTTCTTCAAAATTATACGGTTGTCTATTTGTTTTTTTAGTCACTTTTTTTTTATTTTAAAGGGAAAATGTTTATTATTTTAAAGGACATAATTTTATATTATTTTAAATGAAATTATGTCATTTTAATATATATTTAATATTTTTAATATTTTCTTTCCTCCGTATAAATAAGAGCATAGAGACCTAAAATAAAAGTCATATAATTTAAAATGACAATTAATTGTTTTAAAAAAGTGACAATCAATTTTTCCAATTTTAAATTTGTGTAAATTTTATAAAAAGGTATATTCTGAAAATCACTAGCAATGGTAAAAGTGTTTTCTAATCACACTTTATGGTTTTTATGGAGATAAAAAATAAAATAAAATCTAAAAATATATCTATTATAAAACATGATACGCTAAATAACCTATTTTGTTCAAACTCACCATTTAGATATGGGAAAATTCCTGTACATACATTTTGTATTATAATTATGCACTAAATTAATCAGAATTCATTATAATATTTTAAATTTTGGATCCTTTCTTTAGTAATGGTTAAACAAAGGAATACTAGCATTTTTTTTGTTAACACATTATTGATATGGCCCTTGTAAAAGTTGTGTTTTAACTTTGAGTAATTTATTGTCTTTATTTTTTTTTGGATATATCAGCCAATTTTATTCAAAAAGACAGTTCTATATATCCTCGAAAAAGAAGACCTTGTTCCCAATTTTGTTGCCTTAAAAGCAAGAATCTAAATCGGTTTTTATAGAAATACAACGGGTAAATTGATGCAATTCATTAGTCACGTCGAAAAATCGTTTCATTTTTCGTAACGAGGGAAAACCTATCGCTTATTTCAAACCCAAGAAATTGCTTCGCTGAAAACATTTTAATATTGATATCCAATTACAAAGTTCATTGGAAACGAATTAGCATATATGAGCCATTTTTTTTATAACATGAAATTATATAAGCATAAGCAAAAATTGAAGTTAAAAACAAACACTATTAATCCATAAAAGGATGAAAATGTCTAATACAACATAATAGAAATGAATACTACCATGCAAATAATAATCCAAGCTCATTCTATGACCTTAACAAAAGCAATAAAAAGAAGAAGAAGAGACTTTACAAAGAACAAAATGCACTATTCCTAACACACCCAAATTTAACATCATAAGAAGTACTCAAATTACATAGGAAGAGTCGCCTTAATTAAAAAGTTTTTAGAACCTCAAAAACTCATTTATAACTCTGAAATTACAAAATTCCATTTAAAACTACTCAAACTAGTACACGAGCTTGAAATTAATGTTTATTATCTGCCATATAAATTCTATTATAAAAAAAAATTAATAAAATTAAATCATTTTTATACGAGTATAACAGAAAAAAAAAATGCAATAAAAAGTTGAAATATTAATCCATAAATAAAAGCAGTTCATAATCAAATGATAAAAGGCTTTGTACAAATTTACCAAAATAGAATTATAAAATGAGATAGTTGAAAATTAATAAAAACACAGAGGGAGAGGGAGAAATTGTGTGTACCATGGCGGGGTTACTAGCATGGGCGGCGGACGTGGTGGGTGGCGGCGGAGGAGTAGACGAATCAGATCCGATTTCGATCCCAATCATGTTTTCTGATGATGAGCAAAAGTACGTTGTGGAACTCGATCAGAAGGCAGCGTCTCTGCGCCGTTCGATCCACGATCTACGTCTGAGATTACCTCCACAAGACATCTCTCAAAGCCTCCCTCATCTCCACGCGCACTCCGTCGCTTCCAACGCCGCACTCGCTCTCCAATTGAACTCTCACTCCGCCACTCGCCAACAGGTTCCATTCCATTCCGTTCTCTTTTTATACACAGTAAGCAACACCAATCTTCATTCATCATTATCAACAATTGGGCTTTTTTTCAGGCCCAACTGAGAGAGGTGACGCTGAAGGAAGAAAACGCTGCATTCGAGAACGCGATCTCGAATTGCCAGAACAAGATTAAGGAAAAATTGCAAGAGGCTGAGTTGCTGAAGAGCAAGTTGGAGGAGATGGACGAAACTGAAAAGAAACTGAAAGCTGACGTGGACAGTGTGCGGTTGCGATCTTGGATATCTGACGGTTGGGATGAAGAAGCGAAGATGAATCCTAAAGGTGGATCAGATGCGGGGGATGCAGAAGCGTTGAAATCTGCTATGCTTGACGAATTGGAAAAGAAGAAGAAAGATTTGGTTCGTTGTGTCGTTAAATGTAACGTATTATTATTTATTTATTTATTTTGAGATATTTTTATCAAAATTAATAAACCTTTATTTTTGGTTTCAGAGTTCAATGGAGGATACTGTGCGAGAGTTGGAGAAGAAATGGGGACAAGTGCAGGAAAATTCACTTAAACAGCCCTCCCCAGGTTTTGTTCTTTTTCTTTTCTTTTATTTATTTTTGTTTCAATTTGTATTAATTTATATTTTTTATCAAAAGAGCATGATGCTGTCCCTTGTTTTTTGTTTTGTGTTATTAATTTCTTTTTATTCCTTGCCCTATTTTTCATTGTCATTGAACTGAACTTGATCGAGGTAATCTTTATATTTATATATAGGAACAGGGGTGAGGGCAATCTTTATATGCAGTTATAGTGTTTTGCCACTGCTCGAGATCCAAATATATATAGGATTATAGAAGTATTATAACAAACATATAGCTGTGTACATAGGTTGTGCACCCTTTGGTGCCTTTGAACTGACCACACTGTGAAAAGAGAAATTTCTTTCTAGTAGAAAATGTTGCAAAACATAGTTATGTATGCAGGGTACCACATAGTCCTACCAAACTTCTTGGTATGGTTAGATTTAAGTTCACCTTGATGATGCCATAAAAAATTCAATGTAGGTCTGGGTTAGGCGATTTCTTCTATGTTGGGTATCCTCAAGCATTTGATTGTGTTATTGAATATGAATTTTGAAAACTTTTAACCTTTTTTCTTAACGAATTTCTGCTAATGTGGTTACATCTTGTCGATACTTCGGATCCTGCTTGGACCAAGTGGAAGATATTGTCGATAAATAGAAGTACATCTTGTTCATTGACATCGTGAAAATATTCCGCCATAGTTAGGGTAGTTAAACCAGTTCTCATACGAGCTCCACCTTTGGTTTTGCGATGTAATAATATTGTTCAAAATGCTAATAAAAAGTCTGGTTGGGTTTTTTCAAGGGTGTTTCTTGGTTGGACATACAAAGGGAATAAGGTTGCTCTTTGATTTGATGTATTTTCTTTTATCTTTACTTCCTCTGTTGTTTTTATTGTAGCTTTAGGAAGATATCTGATGTTCCTGTTTGTGCTCTTCTATATGAATGAATTCTTCTATTATCAAAAAGTGGAAAAAGAAATAACCTAGTTGGGGAGACTTCAATCCTGTTCCACCAACACGTAGCTTAATAGGGCCTAAATGTAATTTTATCATTGTTTTTGTTGTGTTAATTCTGCCAGTAATTCTGTACACTTAAGAAGCATCTTGCACGTACTGTTTTAACTTTAAGACATTCTTGTTGTGCAGCGCAAAGAGAGAAGACATTGGATAAACAGCTTCACGGTCTAATTGAGCAACTAGCAGTTAAACAGGTCCTTTTTATGCTTCGTAGTTTATGCTCATATAGGATACTGTTTGTGTTTTGAAAAAACGGTTTTATTCTTTGTTTTCTAGGGGGATAAACTCTATTTTTGGCAATTGCTGGTTGGTTCTTTCATCCACACTACCTTAACACTGCCAATATTGGAACAATTTGTTTCTTTTCTTTTTTGTCTTAGTTCTAATGTTTGCATGTGGCTTCTTGGTATCTAGTTTCCTTCTACAGAAGAGTCTAATAAATTGTCTGACTCTCTTGCTTTCAGGCACAAGCTGAGGACCTACTCAGCGAAATTCATATGAAAGAGATGGAGTTGCAAAGATTGAATGGACTTTGGCGACGACTGGAAAGCAGCAATTCAGAGGTGAATGCTGCTAGGAATCGGTTTGTTAAAAGCTCCTATGATAAGTTATCAGATCAAGATGGTCCTCAGAGGCTTCCTTACCATTCTGCTGGCAGAACTGAAAGCCAGCAGAGGCTTATGCTACTCAGGTCGGCGTTTGTGCTTTATATTTTTGCTTTACACATACTGGTATTTTTCAGGATATCATTTTGACCAGCATTGACATATTAATATGATAATGTTACTTTTCAATGTTCATGTTTTTTAACCTTTGATTGTACTTATTAAATATCTCGTGTATATGTAAAGAAGTTTGTGCAGAAATTAATTCTCATTCATGCTTTGAAGTTTGATGAATGTTTGGAAATCAAGGAAAAATAAGTACAAGAAAATTGTTACAGCCGAAAGTGCACTATATAAAGAACATATGGCTTCAAAAAAAGAAGCATCTAGTTCAAGTGATCATTGTTGTTCTCCAGTGATCTTGGATTAAGTGTCTTTTACCCCAAAAGTCTAGCCTGAAGTGATTTGGGTTCCTTTCAACTGCCAATTGGCTCCTATTCTTCCTCAATAACCTAAAACTTGGAACTGACTCTCCTTCCGATCCCTATTATTGTTGAGAGAGCATTGGCACCCAGAATATCCGAATCTTTAAATTTACATATTCATAAATCGACAGCCAGTTTTATATTAGGAGCGGTAACATCTCGGTGTATATGTCATGGTTCTGTCTCATGAAATTAATCATGACCCCAAGGAAAAGTCACATCTAGGTCAATATTGTCATTCTGGCACCATAAAATTGTTTATCTATCATACTTTAAATCTTTGCTTAGAGATCTGGGAATCACAATTTTCTTATCTATATTTTAATGTCTTCATCAGGATCAGTTAATGCCTATATCCTAATAAATGTGCGATCATACTAACTTATGCAAAGTCCCAAGACTCTCCGCTATTTTGTCGCATTTGTTTTACGAGATTTTCTCACAGACTTTGTGTGACTAGTTCTTGCTCGCGATAGTTGGGGTTGCTCTTTTGACACAAGTGTATGGTTGTGAAAGAGTAATAAAATGATGAGCCGTTTATTGCTCACAGATTGTACCATTACCAAATTAATGCGACTTTAATTATTTAGGCTAACAATTAAGGGATTAATGTTTTTTTATATTGTAGGAGATAATTTTATCTCTTACACATACATAAAAGTGTGTGAGGTCCATGTGAGCTTATGTAAAGAGAATAGAAAGAAAAAGAAAATATGAGTCTCACATATTTTTCTTGTGTTTAGGAGATAAAATTATTTTCTAGAAAAATACTGATTCCAACAATTAAATAGGAAATAAGAGCAAATTAAATTAAGAAGCAAATTAAGCAAATCTGAGTGTGTAATCAAAGAAACTGGCAATGAAATTTAATGGAAGAAATTCAATCAATCAAACATTCGGAATGAAGTTTTGCTACAACTAATTGTAACCATATTTGATTCATCCTTATTAAGGTTGATATTGTTTTTGAAGATAAATTATCTCAAGGAAATCCGAATTCCTCTCGAGTACAAAAGAACATGTAAGAATTAAAATAATAACAACTCCAGGGTGTACTAGTTAATTGAAAATTCTTAAGATTTTGATAATTTATTACCCTTCAAATCCATCTCGAATTCAAAAGAACATATTAGTATTTAAATAACTCTCGTAGGTACTTCGTTAATTGAAATTCATTAAGATACTTGACATTTCATTAATCGTCAAAGGTTAAACTATTTCTAGGTCTAAATTCAGGTTTAATTAACAGAGGTTATGATGTTTCATCTTTCAATCTCACCCAAATATCTTAGATCTATGTACCCACAACATAGAAGTGTTATAATTGAATTAAGAATAAAAAATCTTCCATTAACTGTGGAAAGAAATAGGTACAATCACCTATTCATTGATGAGTTACTTTTCTAGTCAGAATAAAAAAAAAAAAAATCAAAATACAACATAAGGGATTTCAAAATGGAAAAGATAGAAGGAGATTAAGTTTGATATCCTTCTTCGTAGCTCCCAAAAATATTTTCAGTACTTTTGTAATAATGAAGGTTGGGTATATCTTTTATTAAATTTGATAAAAAATAATATAATCATTTTTTTCCATTTTACCCACTTTTGTATGGTTTTGACACTTACATCCCATTGTTTCCCATTTTTAGTTAGGGAGTAGATACTCCCGCAGTACCAAAGATGTGCTCATAGCTTCCTTCTTTACTCTAGATGCATGCTTCTCTTATACAGTAATTTTTCGATGATAAGGGCTCTCTTTCTCTTCTCTTCTTTTTTATGGATTAGGTCTAGTAGTCTTTTTTTTTATTTTATTTAAGGGTTCGTTTTTTTTGCAGTTACTGCAGATTAGTTATCTGCAGTAAGTCCAATACGACGTCATTTTGAGGTGAAAATCATAGTATTTTTATAATTTTAATTTATTTTAGGATTATTATAGTTTTTATAATTATAACTTTTTAATCTTTCAATCCCAAAACGATGTCGTTTTGAAAGTAAATGCAGATAACTTATCTACATTAACTGGAGAAATATTTTTCTGTTTATTTAATGTTCTAGTTTTTTTAGTTCTCCACCTCATTTTCTGTTAAGGATAAAAATTACTTGATTATCTCAATGATTTTATTTTTTATTTTTTGGATTTGAATTACACCTGAAAATTCAAACAAAACCATACAATATATAATGAATGTAAAAACATTAAAAATTCAAGTAAAACTAGCTAAAATTAAATTAAATAAATAAAAATATTAAGATATAGAGCAGAAGAATGTGCAATTTTGTATCAAATCAAGATGAAATTGTAAAGCACGTCCCTTAAAATTCTCGAAGTTAAATGCATTTGACTTACAAAATTTGACCAAAGTCCAAACCTTGTCACAGTTGAACTCTCACATGAGCATTTCCTACTTACATTTTGTTAGACTATTTAACTTCTTGGGCCTTAAGTGAAAATTGACCAACTTGAGAATCAAAATGTGACAACAAATCAAACAATATATAAATCCACAAATTTCTTGGCATATACATTCTATATTTAATTATCTTGAGTATATAAATAGATTCAGGGAGACCAGGCAAAAAATACAATATTCTTTATAAACCCAAAAAAATAAATAATAAACAATATATTTCACGTGGTTAACATGGTAAATTTAATGTTCTAAAAAACTCTCTTTAGCTTTGAAGCATAATATGTCTCACTTTGTATATTCAACATATAGAGGAAAAACTCATTCCATGTGTCAACAGGACCTGGCAAGCACCAGTGAACACAGTCATTCAATGTCACATTATTGTTCTTAGAATGTCCATAGTTGTTGGGATGTCCATCAGGTCTAAGCAACATAATCTCAGTTGTGTCTAGCATCAAAAATTTCAAACCCCTCTTTCTTGCTTTCTTTTGTGCTTCTTTAAATTCCCTCACTTGTGTCAGATATGTCTCAAGAATATACCCATCCAACTTCATTTCTTCCTTGGTAAATGGCTTTGTCCTCACACAATTCCCTCCTTTATTCCATTCCCCATTTTCAAAGTGTGATGGAGAGAATGTCCTAAAAAATGTGACCCCTTTAAATCTTCTAAGATTTGTGATAGTTCTAAATGCAGTCCTGAAGGCCTTCTTGTATCCATAGTAGTGAGCAAGATCTGTGACATTCTCCATTCCACACTTGTTGCATCCAACAAGTTGATCATTTTCATAGAATAATAAAGGTCTAAAGAACCAATGTCCTGCTGAGATTATCACAATGTCAAAATTTTCAACTTGGCTAGCCCAAGCTTCATCTACCTCATCTAGATACAGTTTCATGATGCTGTTGTAAGAATGTCCATTGCTGTCAGCATCACCTGCCCTCACAAAATAAGGAGACCATAGTGTTGCAAGGGTAAAACTATAATCAGCAAAGAAATACCGTTTGAAATATGTCACATCCGATGAATATCTAGCAGAAATGTCCTCAGGTTGTGACACCTGAAAGATTAAACCACAAGCATGTAACAAAACTTTCTTTCATAACTAGTGAATGATTAGCTAAGAATTAAGACATGGGGTAGATTGAGTGGTAATGAATAGGGAAAAAGTTAACATGATCCCGGCCCATTTTATTTTTCCGTACTCCCACACACAATTAAAAAAAAAATTGACCATTTTATCCCTGTTTTTTCTTTTATTTTTCTTTTTTGCCCTCTGCATGTGAGAGGGACCATTAACACATTCTATGAGCCTGGCTCATGGAAATATTTCTCAATGAATAGATGGAGTTATGGTAGAAATTTTTAGCTTCTATTTTATTAAAAAAGGCATATGGCTAGCCTTGAAGTAATAGTAAAGTTGCTCTGCGTGATCATAAGGTCACGGGTTTGAATCTGAAAAACAGTCTCTTTAAATAAAAAATATAACAGTAAGACCTTTATCCTATCTCTGCAAGTCAGGGAGCTTTGTATACCGAGATTTGCCATTTTCATTATCTTAAAAAGGCCAAAAAATAAAAAAATGAACAAAGTGTAAATTAATCACTTACATGATTTAGGAGGCACAACAAAGACTGCATCTGGTTTCTTCCCACCGAGTCACCAACAAAGGCCATCTTCTTTCCTCTCACAAGCTTTAAGAACTGGGTTGCATCAAAAAGAGGAAGCTCACATTCCTCTGGTTTCCACCTCCAATGGAGGTACTCTTTGTCAGGTCTCCCAAACTTCATGCAGTTTTGCTGATCTATTATCAAATTACAAGTTTCATTGTTGTAATAAGGCCCTTCAGGGTAAGGAATCCATTTTCCAGAAAAGATGTCACATTGTTTTATTTCTGTGCTGTTGTTCAAGTTGCTGACAGCAGATATCTCTGGAATTGATTCGTATGAGTTTCTTGTAAGATAAAGAGGAAGCGTGATGATAAGAAGAGTGAATGGTACAAGGACAAAACTTTTGGTAGTGTTTCGTGTTGTGTACTTCCCATTGAAAACTTCATTGGCCCGAAACTTCATGGCTGAGCTAAACTCTGAATCAAAAACTTTGCTCAATAGCTTATATAAATATAAGCTTTTGCTATAATGTATGGTTCGGATAACCCTTTCAAGTTTAAATTTAGTTAAGACTAAATTTTCTCAAGGTCTTAGCATATTATAGCTAAATCACCACCGGCATGACAATTCATGCAGCCTTGTTAAAACGTCATTATTTATAATCATATTCTCACATGTACATTGTGGAAAAAGCAATAAATGTTCTTTTAAAAACGCTCTGACTTTCTTTTACTATTCCCACCTTCAATGTTTTAGTTGTAAAAGGGGAAATTGCTTCTTTTTTAAACTATGAGCTATAAACCTCTGACTATGTTCTGCTTCTAGATTTGCATAAACAATGGTGCATATGCTTGCTTATGCACATCTGTTTTTTTTTTTTTTTATATATATACATGCTTGCTTATGCACACTTTTTTTAAAAGTAGAACTCATTTTGGGTTCCTATCCAAAAATACGGTCTTCACTTAGTCTCTTACAAAAAAAAAATTAGTCGTCAGGTCCTTACGAAATTCAAAGTGGACCCAATTTATTCCTTTTGAGGAACTAATGTGGGTCTTTTTTTGAATTTGTAAGGGACCACGATTTCAACTAAATGGGTCCACTTTGAATTTCTTAGAGACTTCAGGACTAAATTTTTTCTTTTTTTTTTTAACAGACTAAAGTAGAGACCGTGTTTTTTGTCAGGGACCCAAAAGTAGCTTTACTCTTTTTTTAATATGTATGTACAAGGAGAATGATATTTTGTGACTGCAGGCCAAATCATCAACAACTAAGTCTGATTAATAAAAGATGCTAAAAAGTAAAAAAGGAAAACCCAAAAGAAAAAAAAAAATGATGTTAAAAACCAGCTGATGAAATCCTAGTGTATAAGTTCCTTTTGCAAGAGAAAACCAAAAGACTGAAATAAAACCAGTTTCTATCACTGCACAATTATTGTCTAATTTTAATGAATTTGTATTATCATAGCATAATTAGTTGTAAAAAATATTAATGATTGTGTCAAAAGACTGAAATAAAAACAAAATACTATTGGTACATTGTTGGATTACATATTATTTATCAAATGATTAATGCTACATCCACAACTAATTATTGTGTTGTAAGATTGAGAGCAAATCAAAATATTACCTATCATTGAGTTCCTTTGCATGAGAGAACAGTTTGTGTTCCTTTGTATTCAAATGTTGTGACTCTATCATTGTTCAAAGCAAAAGCACATGAGACCTATATTTGTAAAGTTTGGAAGGAAGTAGTGGTTGAGGGGATAAGAATATTGCCGACAGCTTGTTAAGTTTCAAGAGGTATTTTTGTTCGATATTTGCAGCCTAAAAGCAAATAAAATTTAAAATAGATAATTTAAAGACATGTGAAGGTCCAATCATGTTGAATTTCTTTTAGAAACTATGTCCAAATGGTGGGTTCCTAAGAATGTTACCTGAAGTTGGCAAAGTTTGGAAGGAAGTGGAATAAAATATAAGTTGATGAGAGTGAAACATCTTAAAGCCAACATACCATTTATATTTAGCATTATAGCAATTTGTTTGTATATGTTTTTTGCATTAAAACATATCCAAAACGCCAACAAATTAGTTGGTTCAATTTTCTTTTCACAATATCTTCAATGTAGGTATTCTTTCATATTTTAGATGGCATTCCTTAATTATTGAAGCATCTTTAAGCCCTACAACTACAAGTGTTATAAATTAGTTGAACATTTAATAATAATAGTAATAATTTAGATAATACAATAAATATCGTGATTTAATCATCTAAAGAAATACATGTATTGGTCTCTCGGTGGTAAATGCCTTATACAATGCTTGGGGAGAGTTTAGAGATTTAAACCCGAAATTGAATTAGTCAAATTCATTAGGATTTCAGACACTGGTTGGTATCTAAAAAGAATATTTATACAAATTATTATTATTTTTCTTTGTTGATCAAATTCACTTTGTTACCTTTCTAAATAAACATCATTAGATTATTTTGTAACAAAATTAATATCTTTGTTTAAATAATCCTTTTCGTTGGTGTTTAAGATAAAGTTCTTTATTGATGTATCACTTAATTCAATTCGACATCATTTCTGGGAATACCGTTTAGACTAACTTTTCTCGTGGTGGGGTATTTTGAAAGGTTCGACAGCAGTCCAAAACAGTGTCCAGAGCTAGGTGGTTAAGACATCAGTTTTCTATATTAATTATTTAAAGATAAGAAATCAAGCTAAGCTTGACTATTAGCTACAAATAATTGAATCCAATAATAATAAACAATAATATGATAGGATAAAGAACAGTTGTCACCACTTAATATATTGTTAGTGTGAAATTTATTACTATTATCTAATAAGTTTAAATGAAATGGAAAATTTATTAAAGGTAAATTTAGATAAACTTTGAAAAAAAAAATTATGATATATATTTTTAGATTTTTTTTAACTACTATTTCTAACTTCTGAAAATAAAAGTGATTAAAATTATTTTTTAGGTATTTATTTTTAAAAAAAAATTCATCTAATTATTGTAAATATTTTAAGCTTATATTGTAATTAAAAATTATTTTTCATAAAGAAACACAAAAAATAAACTCTGACTATCATGATAGGAAACCAAAAAAAAAGTATTTTGTAGTAAAATTTAAAAAAAAGAATTCTAAGTAATATAAAAATTGATAGTTGAAAAAAATTTAGACAACAATTTCTGTATAAAACTTCCTGCAAATTACCATTTTTTTACTATCGACTCACGCTAAGTGTTATCATTTTGTTCTTTTAAAAATTTTGATATCAATTTAATTTTTCAATTATAAAAAGTTACAATAAAATTATCTTACTATATAAATCACAAAATTTAGAAGACTGAATTGATAACGTTGTTTTGTAAAAAAATTAAATCCATGTCATTTTTTGAATGATCAAATTAATATCAAGACTAAATTAATATTACCAATCCTTAGAGTATGAAAGTGAGAATACTACTTTCTCAACAACAACAAAAAGTGATAATACTTATATTTTTAAAGAAATGAAAAGAAGAGATTACTCCTAAGTTAAAACTTAGCCATAACCAACAAAGCCTAGCACAGTTGGTAGATAATTGGGTTCCTTAAGCATGCTGACAGGGGTTCGATCCCTGGCCGTGCGTATGAAAAAAGCTTTGTTGGGAGAGGTTTACCCACTTAATGTGATCTCCCGCCTCGAAAGGATTAGTCTTCGGCTGTCGGTTAGAGGATACCTTAGGAAACAGAAAAAAAAAAAAAAAAAAAAAAAAACGTAGCCATATGCATAGTCAATGGAATTTAAGCTTTTGGAGTCATTGCTCATGAATTTGTTTACTAGTTTTGAAAAGTTTTCAACTAATTCCACCAGCAATCATTGGACTATTGAACACTTCAGATTTGAGTCATCTTGTAGTGGTAATTTCTCATGAAATGATTGTGATTCAACTCTGAATCTCATAAAACTCTCAATAACTATCTGTGTTGGCCCTTGGCTTCACTTGGCAGTGAAGTTATGTTATGTTTCCCCGATTTTCACATTTCACGTTATGTTATGTAGCTTTGACACATGTCATTCTGATTCATATATGTTCGAGGCTTCTGTATCCCAAAAGATGCTAAAAGATTATATAAAGAATCAATTCAACTCAAAAGATTAAGTTCGTAAGTGATGGACTTTTAATAATTTTATATTATATTTTTTTAATATCTTCTCTTACGTAAGAACCATTTGAACTTGAAACATGAATATTGCATAGACCCTTTTTTATTTTATATTATGCTAACTCAATTTCATTAATAAGTGAGGGGCTGTGAAAATCAAACTCGTAATCTCTTGGTCATATAAGCTCATATATCATGTAAAGAATCAACCAAAAAAATTAAGCTTGTAAATAATGAGCTTTTAATGATTTTATATTATATGTCTCTAACATATTCATCTCAATTTCTTTAATGGAAAGCATATATATTATAACAATTTTAATGTGGGGAAGACTTGATAGAGGAGCTTTAATTAGCTATTTAATTTGATTTTGAAGCTGGTAATGAATTGCTACCACACAATTAGCTGATTACGTTTCCTTGATGCGATGTAGCACCCACACAATGTTAAACCGAAAATGTTGATCCAAGAAAATGAAAGATGGAGATGCAAATCAGTTCTAAACAATGTGGCTTGGTGTCACTTTTTTACTATTTTGTTCTTTGGGAGAATATTAAAGATTTATAATTCCTAGATCATGTATATGACTATAAAATACCAAACAATATGAAATTGAAGTTGGGATTGTGTGTACCTTGTTGGACCATCACAAAACCGGAGGAAATAAAGGACTACATGTCAGGATCTTCCTCTCTATGCCTATTCCGAAAGTGGCAGTCTCAATGCGATAGGAGCATGATAGCTCATGGGGCTTTTCTCCAATATAAATAGGCTAGAGAAGGGACCTAGCCAAATACCTTGAAAAGAGTTTGTATCCACTGGATTCACCCATCACGGAAAACCAAGGTAACACTAAAGCTTACATTGCTGCTCAACTAGGTCCAATACCAACATATATCATAAGCCCAACTCAACATGATCACAATGGACTAACCAAATAATAGAATTGGAATATTCATTAACCCGATTAATTTTAAAACACAAAACTAATTAATTAATATTACCCACATAAACAAAATTTTCCAACATTCTCTCACTTGGGCTATATTAATCAATTTGATATATTTTTGAAAATAACTTTATTTTTAAAAGGACTCTATCGGATTAATGACTAAAAATCATTTTAAGTGGCCAGGATTTTGAAAAACAATATTCCAATTCCAGCATCTCAACACAATTATATCCAACGTAACCTTATAATAGGAACATGACGGTCAATATACCAAAGATATCATAGCATATGTTGCATACTCTCATACAATAAGCATTACATCTTCATGAATCATGGGCCTAGTAGTGT